GGCCCAACTACTGGTAGTGGGTGTAAGGAGCTTCCACCAGGGCCAGGTAGAGAGTAGGCGCTCAATAAATATTACTTCCCTTCCTCTGGCTGGGGCAACCTGCTGTTCTGCCTCTCCTCCTGTCAGAAATCTTTGGAATTGCGGCTGTGTTTCCATGAAGATCCAGCACACCCTGAAGCTCGCTCTGCTCTCAGAAGTGGAAGGGACTCCCCTCAGCTCAGAGACTGCCGCTCGCCTTGACAGAGCCTGGCTACAGAAAGTGGCCCCAGACCCCCAACACCAGGCCTCTTTCTGCCTCTCCTGGACCCGTCATGGTGTGGGGGTAAGGGCCTGTCAGGAGAGCCATTCCCCTGGGCCTCACCATCTGATCCTCAAATTTACAGTCTCTCCAAATAAGTCTAAATATATAGTCACAGAGAAACACCAAAGGAACAAAGACAACAGTCACACAGCTTTAAACTTTGCCTGATGGTCACATCACAGGGCATGGGGCACACTTATGAATTTATATGCATCACATATGTGATAAGCCTGTATTATCTTAGAAGCAGCACAATCACATGACGCTGTGTGATGTGTGTGTGAAAGATGTTTGTTTGTTAAGTGCTGATGCCTCTCACAGCAGGCTCTTCTGGCCACCCTGTTTCAACTCCCTTCTTCTGACAGATTAGAGATACAAGGGTCAGGGAGGAGATGTCACTGACATATTCAAGGGAACCTTTACCAAAGGTAATTGCATTTAGGTCAAAGTGGCCACCTGGGAACAAGGGTGGGGGTTGGGAGTAGGACCTGGGGAAGGAATGACTGCAAGAAGCTGAAAACCCACATGCCAAAGATAATCACCCGAAAGGCTTGCTGATGGGGCTGGAAATTTCCACCCAGAGAGACCACAAGTTTCCTGGGAGGTTGTCAGAACCTCCCAGGAAACTTATTTAAAAATGCCGATGGCCTTAACCCACCTCTAGGGACTGCTTCTGTAGGTTTGGGGGGATGGCTGAGCATCTATATTTTTAGTAAGGTCCTCAGGGAATTTGGATGGCCACCAAAGTTGAAGAAGGGCTGACTGAAGCTGTCTCACAGGGGCACATGAGTAAACTAGGCTGATGTACAATCATTTCTAGACGCGAGCTGAAGGGATGGGGCCTGGCATTCAGTCACTCACTCACCCAGGGGTTTTTAGCATTCAGTTATTCCACAGATGATGGACTTAGTGGAGGAATGTGCTCAGGGTTGTACCAGTCAGAATGGACTAGAGTATGCTGCACTCACAAACAATTCCAAAAGCTCAGTGGCTTAAAACAACCAAAGTTTATTTCTCACTCCTGGTACATGTCTGTTAGGAGAGGGCGGGGCCTCCTCTGCTCCACATCTCCTCACTTTGGGGCCCAGGATGACAGATCAGCCACGACCTGAAATCATGCCGGTTATCAGAGCAGATGGAAAGAGAGTTCTTGGAGGGTCTCATGTTGGTATTTAAATGTTCTGGCCCAGAAGTATCACAAGTCACTTCTGCTCACAAGTCACTGACTAGAACCAGTTACATGGCTCCAACTGACCCTCAGGGTATTGCTTCATGACTGCTGCGCCTTCATGCTATAGCAGGAAGGGGTGGTGCTTCCATCAGTAAGGCCAAGTTTTCCTGGGAGCCTCAGCACATACCTCTCTGACCAGAAGCAGAACCTACGGTCACTCCTAGCAACAGTGGAATCTAGGGAAGGATGCTTTAACAGAGCACGCTGCAGCTTCAAACAAAATTGGGTTCTGTTGGTAAAGGAGGAGAATGGATACTGGAAAAGTAACTAGAAATACATAGGTACATAGGGAGTGTCACTGGAGAATGAGAGACAGTGTTAGAAGGATGATGACAAACGTAGATGATGACAAAGGTAGACAAAGCAGCAATAGCATGGAGGGCTTGACTATGAACTTTACTGAGCTCACCAATTTAGAGGTTGGCTGAGTGGTTTCCTAGGTCATCACAAGATTAAAACTACTAAAGTAACATATATGTTAATTCTGAATACATATTAATCGAGATTCCTCTCCCACTAGTAGACTACAACTGAATACACCAGGATGCTGTATCAAGACCATATCATTAGCTGTTAAGGGTCTACTGTATACCAGGTTCTGCATATATATGATCGCTGATTTTCAGGACAACAAAAGGTAGGTATTAATATCATCTCCATTTTACAGATGAGCAAACCAAGGCTCATATGGGTTAATGGATGACCCTCAGTCACACAGCCAATAAGCAGAGGTGCTGTGTCCAAACCCAACCCAGATTCCAAACTTCTCACTCTTTTCTCAATATGATCTCACGTTGCCTCTTTCACTAGAAATCCTTTAGTAAAAATCATTCGAAATGACAATGTGTTAAAAACACCGAAGCCTGAAATGTTATCTAAGATGCATGTCCAGCAGGAAAAGCGGTGATTGTATTGATTGGTGCTAAGGACTCCTGCTTATTAAAGCCCTGGTTTTTAGTGTATATTTGGATCCATTTTGTCATAGATATGCTGGAAAATATCAGAAAGAAACAAACAAAATGAAGCAGCCAAGATCACATGGTATGGATGTAGCCAACATGCTACAGACAGGCAATCTTGAGAAACTCTGGATGCTGTTAATTAGGAAATGAACAGCTGTCCAGCCTAAGAATTGGCAGAGCTCTCTCAATGACGACACAGGAACAAGAAGAAAAAGGGCCACACCACGAACATGAATAAGAATCAACAATGTGTCTACCTCAAGTGGCTGTGGTGTCTAAATGCAGCCTTGGATTCAGTTCTTAGGGCTCTGGAATGCTCTTGCTTATGGACCAGGATCTTGGGTTACATGGTTGGAACGTTACCAAGGCAACCCACAGACTGACTTCTAACCTTGGGGTCTGCTCCCTGGCCCAGTCTCCCAGTCCATGTAGTCAAAAATCACAGATCATTTGGACATATATTACAGACAGCTTACTGTACTGTCCTGACTCCTCTGAATATTGGCTATATTATGACATTTGATTGAAGGCAGTACCAAAAATCTTAAACAGCGTTATCCTGACTTAGAAGAACAAATTTCCCATTCATTCATTCATTATTTTTTTCGTCCATCCATCACACATTTTCCAAGAGCCTGTATATACCAGACACTTTCCTAGGTGAAACAGACAATCCAGTCATGGAATTTAGAGATCAGTGGGGGAGACAGAGGTAAATCAAATAACCCCCCAACCCAAAGGTAAATCTGCAACTGAAATGTTATTAAACATTTGCTGAGGACCGAGAATTATACTAAATGGATTGCCAAAATGGTGCTTAATCCTCTCCAAGGTCCTGAGGAGTGGAGGCTTGGAGAGGGGATTCAACTTTCCCAAAGCCACACTGCCCCAAAGTGACAGCTGGAATTCCAGTCCTGCACCACCTGATGCAAAAAGCCCATGCATGCACTTGGCTGCTTTTTCATATCTCCCTCAGCAGCCTGTAGATCTCAACTCTTTCCGGCTCCTGCCCTTTCTCCTTTGAGACCTGGGTTTGGGCTTAATGGAGTTTCCACTCTTTTATGCAGTCTTTGATATAAAATATTCCAGAATCTAGTATGTCCAAGTCACTGGATTGGGAAGCTTGTTAGAGACCAATTTTAAAACTGAGATTCTACAATTATTTTTACCTAAAGAATACCTAAAGAAAATGAGACTACCTGGGCCGAAGTTAAAGCAATTATCTCCGTAGAATTTCTAAAGGTCCTGGATTATTAACAGAGCAAGGGTGCCCCCTAGTGCACTGTGTATTACACATTCCTTGACTGGGGATGAGAGCATTCTGGATGTTAAGCGGTGGCTTCCTATTGCACGTCTGGATTAATAATAAGCCTCCCCTAGGCTTGATCATCTTGGCTCCCCAACCCCCCACCCCATTTATATCAATTCCAGAGGCAAGGCCTCAGATATATGGTACAGCATCTTCTCGCGATTCAGAATTCCACCAACCAGGACACAAGGATGCCCACACTGAGATTGCCAAAGGCTAAACCACCTACTGCCAATCTCCAGGATCACTTTCCCATTAGACCAATAAATTGATCCATCATTTCCTGCTATAATGCCTCTCTCTTTTCTGGAGGTTGTGGCTTAAGGGATACCCACCCTTTACACACACACACACACACACACACACACACTGACCTTATCCTAAAACTACCAGAAACAGGAACTTACACATTCACTTTGAACTAGGTTTTGTGCCCCAGGCCGCGGATAGAGTGATGAATGTATCACATTCCCAGCCCAAAGCTTACACTCTAGTAGGGGAAACAAATGGCTAATGAGTCTATTAATTATTCACTTTTCACTATAATAACTGCTACGAGAGAGTCTGCTCGGAGAGTCTGTATCAGTGAGACCAAAGGCAGATTAGGTCTGAGGGTCAGAAGTGTTCCCTGAGGAAAGAGTAAGGTGTACCGTGCCAAAATGGGAGAAAAGGCTGATGAAAGTGATCAGAGAGCTTGGGAGAGAACGGACATGGGGTCCAGGTAGCCTGAACTGGGCTTCTCCTGGGGCTAAAGGTGGTAAGTGTGAAGTCAGTTAGTCAGAATTGGCATAGTGTCAATTCAAGGATGGTGAGGTATTAAGAGAATATCATTAACATTAATGTTTGTCATTAATTGAAAAAGACTGAGCTGGATGTTAAATGATGAATATAAACTAACACCTGAATATTTAGTTTCAGAACAAAACTTTCTTGAGTAGGAAATGTTAACGCGGAAAGCATCCCGAGTCTATTCTGCCTCTTCCCAGTAACCAACAGTATTGCAGACTTTATTATTTACAACCTCTCCACTGCTTATATAAGATGAGGAAATAACAACAGCTGACCTAATTGCCCCAAGTGGGCAGGAGTTGAGTTAATAATAGGCTAAAGGCTGAAAGGAGGAGAGGATAGTGGTGGCAGCCACGGGGTTCCCATGGTGAACTGTGGCTAAAAACAAATCAGGATAAAAAGCCTTACCTAGTGTGTGATGCCCGCTAGATCTCAGGAGGGTTAAACGCTGCAAGATTTGTATTCAGAAAACCTGAGTTCAAAGCCGCCTCTTCACCCTCTAGCTATGTGACCAGGGCAACAAAAGGTCTCCATTTCCGCATCTGTAAAACAGCAATAACAGCAACTGCTTTTTAGTTTCTTGTCAAGTAGTGGGTGTAAAGGGCTTAGCATCATGCCTGGCATATTCCATTTACTCGACATTAGTTTATTATTATCACCATTATTATTGACAATGTTTTTTATCTGGGACCAAATCCACACACGTAAGAAATTCAGGGAAAACTTTAATCTTCTTCGTCACAATGTTCTGTTATTTTCCAATTTTTAAAAATAAGTATGCACTGCTATTAAAATCTGAAGGAGTAAAAAGTACCTACACATTTTGGCATAATACAAATTTGATTAGTCCGCTGTTGCCCAAATTTCCCGGGCTCCTATTGTTCAAGGAGAGCGTGGGTGTGCACTTTAAAAGCAGATTCCCAGGCCCCGACCGAGAAATACTGAATCCGAACATCTCAGGGACAAACCCGTTAATTTATACTTTTACTCAGTCCCACAGATGATTCTCATAATCGGGCCCCTCCTGGGACCTGCTGATTCAAAGGGAGCGCTGCAGTGACCGGACGAGGAATGCCGGCGCAGGTTCTCGCAATCACTAGCACCTGAGCCTACAATTCCCACACTGCCCTCGCAAACCAGCGCTCAGCGAGCCGGAGCCTGCCGGGAGTTGTAGTTTCTGTCAGCCAGACCTCTACCTATAAAAAAGGCGGAGATGACTGCCGAAAACTTCCCGCCCCACAATGCAAAGGCCATTGGTGACGTCATCTGCAGAACGCCCGGGATGGAGCGGGCCGTTTCTACCGCTCCTACCGCCACCTCCGCTGCATCAGAGCCTGCCTCCTCCTCCGCCGCCGGCCCCTCCCTACCCTCTTCTCCCGCCGCCGCCTCCTTCTTGGGCGCTTCTGCCACCTCTACACGATCCAGGCCCTCTGTCCCTGAGAAGAAGTCGCGTTCAGTTTCCTTTGTGGGCCCAGGGCGCAGCCATGGCGGACGGCGGCGGCGGTGGGGGCGCGGGCTCGGTGGGCGGCGGCGGAGCGGGCCAGGCCTCGGCGGGGTCGGCGACAGGCGCGACGGGGGCCGGTGGGAGCGGCGGCCCCATCAACCCGGCCTCACTGCCTCCCGGCGACCCACAGCTCATCGCTCTCATCGTGGAGCAGCTCAAAAGCCGGGGCTTGTTTGACAGCTTCCGCCGGGATTGCCTGGCGGACGTGGACACCAAGGTAGGTGGGGCCGACGGGGTAGGACTGGGCGTGAAGACCTCAGGGTTGCAGGTTGGCTTTTCTAAAGCAGAGAGAACAACAAAAGATACTTTTTAAAAATCTCAGCAGTGAGGTATTAGGCCGCTTGAGGCAGTACAGGAAGCTTTCTGAGTGGTGTACACGTGGGTTGGACTCCCAGTCCGATTACTGTTAGCTGTGTGACGGTCCAGTCGTTTCTCTGAACTTGGGGATTCAGTACTGGTTTCAGAGCCTAGATCCTGTCTTTCCCAAGCTGAGACTTCTTTAAGCCCCTCAGTAACAAACCTCTGTGTGTTAAGAACATTGGAGAAGGCCAGGTAAGGAAGGGAGAATGGTTTGAATGCACAATCATCAGAACGTTGTAGCAATTTGTTCCTTTTCTCTAGCTCAGTGATTTGCAGGCCTGAGTGTCCGGTTGAATTAAGGTACACTGGTGCAGAACCCTTATCTTGTACTCCATCGTGGATTAAAGAGAATTTGGTGCCAATTTTAGATCCTAATGCCATAGGTCAATCCCCTAGTAAAATGCTATTTCATGTTACTTGCCAAAGTCGTGGAGATTCAGTGAAGTCAGGTGTGTTAAGTGTCAGACATACAGTAGTTGCTGGAATGTTCCATTCTCTCCCATTTCAGAAGCTTTTCTAACAAGACTAGGGTTATAGGTTTAGGAGGCTCTGTTACTGACTGAGCCCCTCTAGGGAAGTGATTTCTCCTCTCTTAAGAGAATCTGCCTACCTAACAGGAAAATTGTGAACTTAAAATTATAACTCAAAGATAGGGAAAGACATCTTCCATTTATTCATTGAACATTTATTGTCCTACAGCATGTGGGCTGTGTGGATACAGAAACAAGTAAGTCACTACCAGTCCTCAGAGCTCATACTCTAGGGTAGAAAACTGACAGGTGGACCAGATGCTATATACACTATGTGGTGTTAGAAGTGCTTAATATTTAATGCTTAATTTTCCTTATTTAAGGTTCTCAGGTACATATCAACTGAACTTCCACCTTTCCCAGGACTCTGGGTGTTCTCAACTTCCCATCACAAGTTCTCCACTCATACCTCTTATGTTCTGTTTTGTGTGGCTAAATCAATGTGGTATGCATGGTATTTTTAAAAGAGAGAAAGAAAATTAGTACTGTAAAGCTGTTGGGGGAAAGAGAGTTGGAGCCTTCCCCACGTAACACCTTAGATGTTCCTTCCATTAGTGCCTGGGTGGTTTTATTTTTGGAAGACTGTGTTTTCAGGCACTGTTGCTTTAGCCCCATGGTTCTCAGTTTGCCTCTTGGATCAGCAGCATCAACATCACTTGAGAACTTGTTAGAAATGTATATTCTTAGGCCCCTTCCCAAACTGCTGATATATTTCAGGGAAAATGTACAGATGATGTTTGTAATTTACTTTGCAGTGCACCCAAAGTACAAATAAATAGAACAAACTGATAAGTGAATCAAGTGAGGGATAGATAATGCAATAAAATGTTAATGGGAGGCACAGTCTGTCCTTTCACTTCAAGAACTGAAGGGATTGTTCTATGTTGTCAAGATCTGTTCAGGTTTGGTGGTGACATTTGCTGTCCTTTGTCCTTTTACGGTAAACAGTAACTATCATTTCAAACCAGGTGACTTATTTTGAATAGTATAAAGTACAGTAGCAGGATGCATAGTTCCAAGTGACAAATTAATTCTAGTTTCTTTAAGCAAAGTGGTGAATCTGTTGACTTGGGCACCCCAAGAAAGGACTGATTGAACAAACTGTCAGAAGAGTAGGGATGCATTTGGAACCGGGGATGCGCCTCCAGGGCCATCTTTCATTTCTGCTCTTTATAATATTTTACTGTCACTGCACAGCAGAGTCATCCATTTGGTTACTGGTATTTTGATTACATCTTACATCTTCTTTCTCTAGAAAGGGACTCTCAATTCTTGTTCAAACAATCCCAGGGAACATCAGCATTGTCTTAGCAAGGGGCAGGCACCACATTTGTGGTCAGGAGAACATGGCACCCTCTGTCCTACCCTTGTGAGGAGAGGAAGGAGGAGTTGCTAGGTAGATAGTACATGGGTGTTTGTGAATCCGTTCTCTTGGCCTTTTGGAAGAGTCCACCTATAGAGTTGAAGCCTGATGATTTTTTTTGTCACTTTCATTTACCTGACTGCTAGCAAACTTTTGCCACAGTAACACTGCATAATAAACCAAATCATGGTGACATGATAAGCATCCATTCTCATGCTGATAGGGCTGCAGGTCAGCTAAAGTTCAGCTAATCTACGTAGGCTTCCGCTGGGAGGTTTAGGTGGCCTGGGCTTGGGTTTAGCTTGGGCTACATATAAACTCACCTTAGGTCCCAGGACATGCCGTCATAGAGGGTCACCAGAGCACAAGAACCAAGCCAGACAGAGGACGACCACATTTAAGGCCTCTTGTCACTAGCACTCCATTGACCAGACTGTGTCGCATTGCTAAAACTCAGCATCACTGGGGTAGGGAAGCAGTCTCTGCCCAGGCAGAGGGGGGCAGGGGTGAAGCCTAACAGCAATGCACACTATTATACCTGGTTTGAAGAAGAGCAGCTGATCGTACCAGAAGGTCTTAGAGGCTGAGAATACATGTTCCATGTATTCACCAAGTTCCTTCTAATTTTGTTCTGATCATAGTTGGGTCTAAAACCGACTATGAGCCAATAAGAGCCTCAAGCTCCATTTTTGGACTTAAGGTGTGCTTCCCCTCAGCCTTTCCCAATGTTCCATAGGCTTTGACTTCAGTCTCCATTCTCACATCATGCTGGGGTTGGGTGGCCCTTCATTTTATGCAGTGGGCTTTCCTGAGCCCTTATTTATTGCTGAGGATACCCTGCGAGGCAAGTGGGACAGTAATATTTCAGGTTTACAAATGGAAATAACTGAAGCTGAAAGGTTGATGACTTGGACAGCCGGTTAGTGATGGTGCCAGGCTAGAACCCAGTTCCTCTGATTCAGAAACAGTCTAGGTCTAACCTTGGCTTTGCCACATTTTGGCCATGTGGGCAAGTTGTTTACTTTTTCTAAGCATAAATTTCTAATCTCTACAATGGGGGCAGGAGAGAGTTAATAGACCCTCCCTGTACCATTACTTGGAAAGTAAATGGGATGATGCATCTGGCCTTGTGCCTGCCCACCATAAAGTAAGCCCTTGTTGCTAGTTAATTCATGCTCTACTGTACTACAGAGCCGTCTTCATCGTCATGCTGGAAGTGTCTTTAAGGACTTGAAACATCTACATTTCTGTGGAAAGCAGTATTCTTAAATGACTGACTTCTAAGATTTTGGTGCATGTAACTTCTTACCTTGCCTCTTCTTTTTAATGTTTCAGCCAGCTTACCAAAACCTGAGGCAGAAAGTGGATAATTTTGTGTCAACACATCTGGACAAGCAGGAATGGAATCCTACAATGAACAAAAACCAGTTGCGAAATGGTCTGAGGCAGAGTGTAGTTCAGTAAGTAATTAGAATTAAGAGTGAAAATGTGGTAATCACAGCATGATGTACAAGAAAGCTGATGCGCGTCATTATTTGGTCAAGGTGGATGGTACTTTACAGCAAATCCCACGCACAAGTCGCAGCAGTCCACCCCTTTATTAAAGTTAAGGTTCAAGTAAGCAAAGGACTCAACTGACATTCTTGCTAGTTTATCCATCCTCCATAGGCCTCCTGTGTAAATTCTACCGGGTGCATTGAAAGATACTCCAAATTCTGAAACCTAATTCCCTGCTGCTTGAAGTTTTCAGTGTAGTTCGCCCATACGCGGGAGTTTTATACCAAGATATCAGTGTTTGGATCTTGGGCGAGAGGTCTGAAGTGGAACAGCAGCTTTTAGGAAGGCATGGAGCCTTATTAAAGCACGTCTGTCGCGGTCACAGCCTGAACCTTAGTTCGGTGCCACTGCCAGTCACCCGGTGACTTCTCGGTGTCACTGGGCACTGCAGCGGAGGCGGGCCATGGCATCTGGCTTTTTCTAATCTGCTTGTGATCTTTTTTTGCTCTTATTACTAGCACTTGTGTTCAGGTCTTGATCCAGTGAACTCTCCTGGAATATCTAAAAGCTTGTGAAGCCCACCTCTTTAGAAATAGAAATATCGGGGAATTGTGCTGAGTGAAAAAAGCCAGTATTAGAAAGACGCGTGGTGCTGATTCCATATATGTAACACTGGTGAATAAACAATGACAGCGATGGAGACAAGATGAGGGGTGCCTAGGGTTTGGGGGTGGGAGGAGGCGGGTGAGTGTGACCCCAAAGGGATAGCCCCAGGGGATGCTGTGGTGGTGGAACTAAGACCTTCATCGTGGTGGCGGTTACCTGCGGTCACTCATGGGGTAAAATGGCACAGAGCTACCTGGGCAAACACACAACGGAGTGCAGCTACGTGTGTGAAAACTAAGTAAGGTTGGATCGTCCTGGTGTCATTTTTCCAGTTGTGATACCGTATGGCAGGTACACATGGTGCAAACGGGTGGCTGGGGGAAGGACGCACGGACCTTCAGAGAATGGTCTGTTTGTCTCCACAAGGTCAGGGATGTTGGAAGCTGGAGTGGACAGAATCATTTCTCAAGTGGTGGATCCCAAACTAAACCACATCTTCAGACCACAGATAGAAAGAGCGATTCACGAGTTCCTGGCGGCCAAGAAGAAAGAAGCCGTGCCAGCGCCCCCTCCAGAGCCTGAGAGCCAGGACCCCCCAGCTCCCTCCCAGGATGCTTCCTAAGGTCCAGTATCCCGTCTTTTGTCCAGGAGCATTCATCTCTGGCTTATAAATATATAAAATGGATAGAAAAGGGGTAAGCCACTATTGGGGATCATGTTCTTGATATATTCAGAAAAACATTTACTGCAGAGAGACTCCACCTACTGTTCAAGAGTCATTTTTTACTGAGAACTCACAGGTAGCATTCTCCTGTGTTAGTGTGATCTTCTGTGCCGCCAGAGCTAAACTTTTTTTTTTTTTTTAAAGATTTTATTTATTTGACAGAGAGAGAGATAGCAAGAGCAGGAACACAAGCAAGGCAAGTGGGAGAGGGAGAAGCAAGCTTCCCGCAGAGCAGGGAGCCCGATACGGGGCTCGATCCCAGGACCCTGGGATCATGACCTGAGCCAAAGGCAGATGCTTAACAACTGAGCCACCCAGGTGCCCCCAGAGCTAAACATTTAAGCTGTGGATAGATGCTTCATTAGAAACCAACAGGGATGGTTGCTGTGCACAAGAGAAATTCAAATGAAAGTCCTGTTTTTCTGAAGTTGATTGAATGAGTCTTATACCTGGACATGAGTTAAACTTGGGTTTGCAATTTAAATATAAAGTCAAACAGTGCCTTCTAAAATGGCATCCTCAATGGGACTCACAGTCTGCTTTAAGCCCTGCTGGATTTCCTTGTATTTAGAGATTAGAGTTTACCACTGTCAACAACCGTGGGATTCTTCTGTTATGTGCGTGCCCCTTCCTGTTACATTTGGGATTTAACTTCATCTTAAAAGTCAGCTACAGGTGCACAAAGCCACGCTTTTTGCAGGCTTTGAGACCTTGGTCAAGGTGAGCAGTAACCAGCAGGTAAGCAGTGGACTCTTACCTAGCCATTGTTAGTAACCTGTCCCCTCATTCCACTTTGGTGTTCTGTTTGTCAGATTCATTAAGATGTTTATTATTTTTGATAGGAAAGCATCAGTGAGTGAACAGAGCAAGAGCACAAAGCTTGGGTGGGGCACTGCCTTAAGAGGGGCATTGTCTATTTGTGCCTGTACTCGGGGGAGAACTCAAACTCAATTCCATTATGGAGTATAAAACATTACCAGTTTTTCTAGTTTAATTGTAAATTCCTTTAGGGACATAAAATTAAATGTAGTCTCTTATCAAAAAGCCTCTTGATCTGATTCTCTTTTTAGAGTATGTCTGACACCTTTTGGAAGCTCCATTGAATTAACCATGAAGAAATGGATTCGGTTACTTAAGAGGACAACTTCAGAATGAAGACAGGCTGAGGTCGTCACTGATTTCAACGTTCAGCCTTGACTGTGGGGCAGTGTCCAGATTGAACAGGCAGTGACAGTGGACCGTGTGTGCCCCCTCATTGTGCTGCCGTCTGGTCAGCCTGCCAAAGGGGGTGACAGCCAGTAGACACTACAGAGATACAAAGAAACACTACATCAGTCTGGGGTTGTCCTGAAACCTTTATACTTGAACTTGGAGACTGTGTGGATTTTAGGGTTTGTGCTCGGGGATCCCTAGAGGGGCTGTAGCTACAGTGGAGGAACATAACCAGTTCCAAAGAATGACAGTAAAGGTTAGCATGGAGTAGGAATTAGTGCTTAACTGTCAACTAGAATGTTTAAGCTGTCAGCACCAACTAGCTCAAAAGCTGTCATGACCCTCTTGTACGTGAATCTTGTAGCTTCGGTTTCCTTTCCTCCGTAAGAGGTGACAACACATGGGACCGTAGAATGTGTGAGGAAGTGCAGACATCAGGTAGAAGGAGAAACATCTGCAGGCTGTCTGTCCAGGGCTGCTGCTTATCCTGCAAGGGCTAGTGAGTCTTGGTGTGTTTATTTTATTCTCACGTTTGTGTTTTTTAGAAAAGTTGAATGATCAATAAATAGCTTAAGTTTTGTAATAAAATCATTTGCTACTCCTACTCTGAAGCCTCAACTGAGTGTAGCCTCCAGGCCTGGGAACCTGTGAGGAGTAACCTTTGTCCTCTGCCTGCCATTCTGTGCCTACGCGGGGGTAGTGGACGGGGGAGCAGAACTTGGAGCTGCCCACCCCCTGGAGCTAGCAGGTAGCACTGGAAGTGGGCAGGCAGTCCCTCTTCTCCCCTGGACCGTGACTGGTGCCGGTCACTAGCTGTGAGGGCAGAACGATCTGTCCGTGTTCCTCGAACCGAGTGTACAGTAGCATCACCCAGCGATCTTGGAAAGGTGCATATTCCGACCCAGAAGTTCTGGAGTGGGATTGGAATGTGTTCTCATGCTCCAGGGGCTGCTCATGCTGCTGGCCCCTGGCAAACACTTTGTACGGCAAGCCTTGAAGAGTATCAAAGCTTATATCAAAGAGTTTGGGTCCTTAGTGGAGTCTGTCCCTAGATATTGTTCATCCAATAAATTGTCAACTACTTAGCTGGTTCCCTGTTAAAATGAACTGCCTCCACCTTGACCATTTCTTGGCTTACAGTGAAGTTTGTGGCTCTTATGTCAGATGCTCAGGCACTGGTTTATCCTATCTCTGCCATTTACCCTCAGCTTCTATTTACTCATCGAGGGGAAATAGGTTCCCATGCATTCTGGATCGCTCCCTGGCACGTGAACGAAGTAAGCACTAACCCGTCACAGCAGTGCTGCTGAAGGTAGAGTCCCTCACCAGCAGCAGCAGCATCACCCTGGAACTTGCTAGAAATGCAGCCCCTACTCCAGACCGGATTCTGAGACTTGTAGAGGGGCCCAGCAAGCCCTCCCAGTGATTCTCTGCATGCGAAAAATCATTTTAAGGCACGTTTTTGGGAAGCTGGTGATGTTGACTGGCAATGACAGTTTAATTGTGATTAGTGTGTAAACGTGTCTCTTCCAACAGCTCCTGAGGGGTGAGACTATCGAGTTTTTTTGTCTTGTTTTTTAATTCCTTGCAAGGACTCTGCTTTGGGGCATTTTGATGTAGAAATGCTTGCATGTAACTTATACCTGCTCTGCTTTCAAAAGAAGTGTCTTCTGAAGATGAGTTTGCTAAGCAGCTCAGAACATTGGTGAGAACTCTGCAGAGACTCACTGGCTATTCAAGATAGAGGAGCAGTGTCTGTGGGGACCCAGCAAAGGTCGGGGTCTGGCGTGGGCCCAAGGCTGGCACTGAGGTCCGGGTTTGAAAACTGCATCTGGATAAGTCCTGACAGGGCCAGGCCCTGCCCCTCTTGGCTGCCCTAGGAGGCCGAGGACAGGGTGGGAAGCAGACAGGACAGCCGGCCCGGCCAAGCTTTTGTTGGCACTGCGTATCACACCCTGTCCATCACCTTACCCGTGGAGGAGCCAGGAGGTCAACTTTTATGGTCTTGTCACTGGGGATGGGCTTGGCTCCAAGGCCACATGGTAGTAATTACTCGTCCTCTCAAATTGGTTACACTGCCTGAGACCTCGCCAGTCTTTCTGTCTCCAGTGTCCAAACTGCCATTTGGCCATCCTTCCAGAAACACTGCTTTTATCAAATCTCTTCCTCACTCTGGAACCTTTGGAAGGATGTAGACGAACTAGGCGCTGACCAGGTGGCCGACATTTTCATACGCATATATTTAATTCTCATGACCCTGTTAGGATTTATTCTCCATTCTGTGGATGAGGCAACCTAAACTCAGGTGAAGCAACATACTCATTATACAACTATTACGTAGGGGAGCAAGGTTTGAACCCAAGCCTCTGAACTCAAAGCTCATGTTCCCCTCCCCACCCCACCCCCTTGCTACGCTGCCTCCTTATTACTTAACAGAACAAGTCAAACTTGTCAGTCCTTTGGGGTCCACCCTTCATTCCAAATGTAGGCTAAAATCAAGTCAGCTGGACCTCTTGCTACATCTCAATGCATACCTTTAGCTCTAGCCAGTCTGCTCCCCTCACGCAAATGCCTATCACAGAGCAGAGTCTGCAAACTCACTCTGCCCTCCAGACATGTTCTATTGATCATGGAGTTGTAACTATTGTCTGTTGTTTTTAATTACCAATATTTCAAAATGGGGAGAATTCCATATAGAGCTCTCTTTCTGGTTCCTAATGAAAAATGTCAAGGTTTGGCAACATATTTGTATTCCCGCTGGATAACAATCCGCCAGAATTCTGTAGCAACTCTGCAGTTGAGAGAGCATGTGGGACAGACAGATGCCACTGGCTGGCTTCTCTCATTTCCATCACCCTGCTGGCCCTGAGGGTGTTGGAGATACTTGCCCCAGAGTGTCATCGTCCTGTGATTAAGATGATTCAAAACATTTCCAGCTAAAGGGCCAGATCTTCTAGACTGATTTTCATGGAGACTAGATTTTCAGCTACCTGAGTTGGGCTCTAGAATTTTCAAGCTTGGAATGGAGTCTGAAGTTCCCTAACATCTCTCTCTCGGTGTCCAGATTGAACCTATCCAAGGATGAGGGAAGGTCACAGAACATCGCACATAGAGGTGGGCTCAGGGTACAGCTAGGACAGAGACTGAGAGAACCAGCACACGGTATTCTCAGAAGCCCCCCAGACTCACCCTGAGTGGCAGTCTCGCCAGGGCTGGAGCCGGAAGAGGGCTTGTCTGTGTAGCCTAATCGATGTAGGAAGCTTAAAGTCTTGTAAATGAGAGAGCGAAGGGTAGCAGAATATGCCACCCCAAAATAGGACCGCAGGAGTTCAGGACCTGCTGCCCCCAAATCTTCCTCTTTGATACACGGATTGCTTAGAGCTGTAGGCACTTGAAAAACGGCAAATACAGGGAGAGGCTTTCACTGAATTGCTTTTATCTGCCTAAAGGCAGATACCAGATACCCAAAAGGAACACTCATCACAGATCCCCTCCCGGGAGGTACATCACCCAGGGAGGACTGACTCTCACAAGAGAAGAGACTAGAAGTCAACCCCACACCCTGACAAACTTCATCACAAATTATTCTACCTCCCATCTGTTCTTCCAAAGGCCCATTCATCTCTCCTAAAAATCACTGACTCTCCCCTAAGAGGCCTACCAACCCCCTCTTCCTTCCCTGTTGAGCTGGTATTTAATCCCAAATTCTAAGCCACCTCAGGGAGTTAACTTATTTTTCCCTGGGTGTTTCCATGGTGACATGAGGTATCCATGTTAAGAAACTTCTGTGTTTCTTTTGTTAATCTGTCTTTTGTTACAGGGGTTTCAGCCAAGTACTCGAAGGGTAGAGAGAAAATCATTTCCACCCCCCTACAAGAGCAATAGATTGGATTCGGCAGAAGTTAAACAATGGTCAGGGTGGGCATTTGAATGACGCAAAGCTTACGCAGCTCTCTGAAGGGGGCAGCACCCGGTCTCCGCTGAGGTGATTCTGTAGGCAGGTGGGAGAACTTTGTCAGACTCGGCCCGGCCTGGAGTCGTCATGACGGCCGTCCTCACAGCAATCCTATGAGCTCATACGGTGTGCTGGCTCAAGGCTCAAAATTTGAGACCTGACTCTGCCACCTGGGCTCTGGGGCGGCGTCAGTGATGATAGATTCTGTTTTGGCTACAGTGCGTGAACAAAGAAACACCAAAATCTCATCAGCCGCACACAACTAGTTTCTCACTTTCACAAAATGGCTGTGATCTGGGCAACGCTCCAGGGCAAGCCTTCAAGGCGACACTGAGCGTCCTGGCTGCTGCAAGCCTTTAGCCCATCCTCTCAACCCAAGACCTCTTCCGTAAGAGCACAGCAGAGGAAGAGAACCACGGAAGGTCTCCCGTGAAGGATGAATGATATGGCCTGCGAGTGATACCATGGCTTTCACTCACAGCCCCCTGGCCACACCTAGGCACATGGCCATACCTAACTGCAAGGGCACCGAGAGGTACACACACTCACGGGCCCAGAAGGAGAGGAGAACCAAATGTGGCTGAGCCCCAGAAGGCTACCTCGGTGTGCCTTCCCGTCCACTGAATATACCGTGTCTTCCCGCGGAGATCCTGCTCCTGCTCCATGGAAGATGATCTCAAAGTACCATCTAGTGGCCTCATCCGTCATCGGCCCGGGAGGTCTCTGTGTTAGCGGTTAGGCAGGCACCTCCTCCTCAGACCTCAGAACTAAAGAGAGAAGTCATCCGCCTGAGATCCCCTCCCCCCACCAACCTTGACAGAGGATGAACTAGGTAGGGGAAGAATGGAAAACATTGTAGTTCTGCTGCGAAGCCACGGAACCTAGCATGGCAGGTGTCCCTGTAGGCCCGGCTCAGCCTGCAGTTCTCTGTGGCCTCTGGCGCCACCCTCTGGGAGGTTCTTCCACGGCCACTGTGTCTCCCAACGCACTCTGGCCACACCACCCTCGGGGAGTCTGAACTGAGAGGCTGTCTGGCTTTCTCAATCCCCGTCCTGCTCTAGGAGACCAGAGCCCCAAGGGTCATTTTAAGTTCCGAGTGGAGACTTTTGGAGCCTGGGGATCATGGGAGTTTGGGTCAGAATGGCTATCCTATAGACGTAGTAGGAGCGTTACCAGACAGATTCCAACCGGCAACATGGGCCAGAAGCCACAGTCACAATTTTTGGGGGGGACTCGACTCATAAATCTCTTGTATTCCTTTGCTCCCTTGCTCTCATACCTCTCTCTTGATGGAAACTTTGAGGCTATGGGGCTTCCATGCAAAAGCTACACTTTTTTCCCTGAGCCATTCTGTCCAGCTGAAAAGTTGGCCGGGGCACCACATCCTTATCTGATCGTTGCATGGAGGCCTTTGTCACGTAAGTGTTCTCTACGTTTGCTTCTGATCTCATCTCTTTCTTGTAAGACCTTGCCGAATGCAGGCAACATCAACCATATGATGCTATTAAAAATCCATTTTCCCGCCTCTGCCCTTAGAGCCACAAGTTCATTAGGTACATGATCCGCCCCTGAGCTGCTGATGCCCAGTATTTACTACTTTTACATAGGTTGACTGATTCACATTTTTGCAGCTTGCAACTAGAAAATGCCCTGACCAAATCTTCTAATGACATCCGATTGACTTGTCCGTGAATGATCCCCCAACTGACAGATGTGTCTTCATCTGACAGATCGGGTTTGCACTTACTACATTACCTAAATCAAGCTCTTTATTTTGTAATAATTTGATTCACAGATAGTTATAAGAAATAATATGAGTGCCTGTGTACACACTGATATTTACCTGGTTTTTCCGTTGGTAACATTTTACAACACAATAATATGATTCCACATCCAGGACTGCTTAATTTAAAAATGGATGGCCTTTGCCTTTATTTCTGGCTATTTGCACATCAGAATGATTTTGTGAGTTCCTCAGTGCATGATATTTGAGCTTACTTTTTGCATTAAGCCTAGTCATTACATTTTTTAAAATTTTTTTTCGTTTAATGATTTGTTTATTCCAAAAAAAAAATTCTTTTTGCACACTTACAAGTATGTCAGGCAGTGCCCTTCACCATGGGATTACAACAGTGGCCATGAAAAACGTGGCCCTTCCTCAAATCACGAATATATTTCACTGGTTTCTCTGACACAGGGGGGATGGGGAGCAGTGTTTGGAAATGCCACAGAGGTGACAGGAAGAGGGAGGCAGAGGGAGAAATCCATTGAATTCATCAATAAGGGCCACAGCAGTTTCAGCTGGAAAGCCAGGGGCTACTGCCAGATGGCAGAGCACTGAGGACACAGAGGAGGGAAGGGGGCCCCTCGCCGGCACCTCTTCGGTAATGATGGAGCTATGTGTGTGTGTATTTATTTTATTTACGTAGACAATGCTTCTGTGTGGGGAGACAGTCCAAGGGCATGAACAGGTTTCACAGGGAGAAGTGTCCCTCCCATCTCCCAGATACCCTCCAACAGCAACCCCCACTGTACCAGGTCCGTACTCACCCCTCCAGAGACGGCTCCGGCGGGCACAAGCGTGTCAGCTCCTACATGGGTCCTTAGCTGGGACGCGCTCCACCTCTCCAACTGTCCTCAGGAGAAGTTCCTGGAGAGAAAATGATCGCAGGCTTAAGAGCTCTGAGTGGCCAGCAGGTCACAGGGGTGGGCTGGGGGTGGAGGCGATGGGCAAAATGGCAGCCCCCTTGCGGCTACAGGGTCAACGATGCGCAACGATCAGGTAAGAGGAGGCAGCCTGTTCTGAGTGCTTGTCACATGCAGGCCACTCCAGCCACACCAGTAAAGGGCGTCCCTGCAGGGAGACGATATCATTGTCCCCACTGACAATGAAAGAAACTAGCACTCACCCGAGGTCAACCAGTGACAAGAGTCAGAGCTGAGGGTCCAACCCTGCTCTGTTCATCTCCAAAGCCATGCTATTTTTTCCCATTTTTTTTTTTACTGTAGTAAAATACACATAAAATTTGCTGTCTTAATTAAGCAACCAACGCAGTGGCATGAAGTACATTCACATGGTTATTCAACTGTCGCCACCATCCATCTCCAGAACTTCTACATCTTCTCATACTCAAACTCTGTCCCCATTACCACCAGCTCGCCATCCCCCTCCGCAGCCCCCGTGACCACATTCTACTTGCCGTCTCGGTGAGTTTGAGGACTCCAGGCCCCCCGGCTAAGCGGAGCCATACGTTATGAGTGCTCTGCGGCTGGCTTATTCCTCACTGAGCCCTACCACCTCATCCTCAGACCTCATTTAGGTTTTGCCAATGGGTCCCAACTGCGTTCAGTGTAGTGAAGGGATTCAGTTCAGAATCACACGGCGCATTCAGTGGCCACATCTCTTCGTCTCCTTTAATCTGGAACGGTCCCTCTTTAAAATTCCAGGCCAGATCTTTTGTAGAACAGCTCTTAAACTGGGTTCGTCTGATTACTTCTCATGATGATATTCTAATCCTGCATCTTTGACAGGAACATCAGGAGCAATGATGCATTCTTGTCATAGCATCCTATGAGGTGCATGAGTTAGATCTATCCCTTTGTGGCTGATGTTAACTTTGATCACCTGATTATAGTGGTGTCGGCCAGATCCTTCTTTTGTCCATTTGTAATAAATTAGTATTTTGTGGAGAGGGACTTTGAGATTTTGTACATATCCTGCTCTTCATCCAACATTCATGCCCATTGACATAGCTCTGTTGAACCAAGTATCATTCTTGACCATGGCCAAGTGGGCATTTTGAAATTCCATTGTTCCTTCTACACTCATTAGTTGGCATCCTACTATTGTAAAAAGCTTTTTCTTGTTCCTGTTTATTGATTCACTTGTTTATTTCTATCTGTATGGACCCATGGATTCCTATTTTACTCAATGTGTTATACAATCTGGGGCTATCATTACCTCATTCGACATCAGGTTGTCCCAGATTTGGCTGGTGGGCAGACTTTCCGACTGGCTTTTGTATCCTGTGACATTCCTCCCTCTGTCCTTGAGCACCTCCTTACTTCCTGACACAAGGAGATGGTCTAGGCTTATCTCCTGCTTTTCCTGCTCTTGCCCTGGAATCTGCCATTTCTCTAAGAAGCTTTGATTCCTTTGTCTGGTATTTAAAAGTCACACTGAGCGCCGGATGTGCCCCCACTCCCAGGCCTTCCTGGGGTGCATTCGAGTTTCTTTCCTTCCCTTAATTATCATTCTTTCTCTAGCCTCTCCCGCTATCCTCCATACATTTACACCGGATCGGTCACCTCTACACAGAACCACCTCCTGTCACCACCAACACCTTGAACCCGGACAGATGGCCCCTCACCCGTTCTGGCTCTGACACCCCATGCTGCTCTCCTGACCCTCCTCCCATCTCCACAGATGCTGACCTAACGGCTCAGTAGCTGTTTGCAAACCTCGGACCCGAGCCCTACCTAAAGTTCAGGTGGTTATGAACAGACATAAGAGAGGGAACTGGCCAGGGGTGGTGACGGTCACCACAGGGTGGTGACAATGAAGAGATGGAAAGGCTGACGCAGTGAATCACCACCACGTGACAGCCCCTGCCAGGCAGGGCAGGTGGCTCGGACGTCTCTGGGCTTGGCTAGAAAACAGTGGGGTTACCTCCCAGACAGTGCAGGATAGCAGAGAGAGCAGGTTTGGGGGCCAAGCTAGCCCTTCGTATTCTCTTTGTTCACGTTATCTTATTGTCTCCACCCCGCCACCCCCCCACTCCCCCACCCCCAATCTGCCTTTTGTGTCTCTTGCTGTGGCTCTGTGTCAGTCACTCTGGTAGCAGGCCACCTGTCTTTCTCATGCCTGCCCAGAACTTACTCTTCCTACACCCAGCAAGACCCCCTCACACAAACACACCAGACTGGGTGAAAGGCCACGCCGCCATTTGCGCGAGCTGTGGAAACCAACAAAAACTTATTTATAGTCCACAAATTATTAATAGGCTGGGATCTTATTAATTCCATCCCCAGTACACATCTCCCCATAAACGCATGGGCAGGGGTGGATAGAAACACAGTGAACGTTATTGGATAAAACTCCCATAAAAGGAGTATTGTAATACATCATTTCACTTCCCCTCATTAAGTCTGTGCTGAGAACATCCTGTGGTTTATAGCTGTAAACCAGTCCCATCTGACCTAGAGACCCAAGACCACTTCTGTCCTTCCTTGGCCCAGCCTCCCGCCCCCCTGAAAGAATGTGTTTGCACAGTCGACATCAGTAAGATGGTCCCTGACTATCCACAGATCCTGTGGCCACAGCGTGGACACAGAACTCCAGGGAGACAAGCTGGACCACACAGGGCGGAGGGGGGGCTGTTGGCCCAAGCCAATTCCGGGATGACATGGTCTTGAACCAAAATCAGCTTTAAGAAGGCCAGCTCTGCCTGTTTCTCCATACCCAAACGCTACCTCCCAGAACTTGTCATGCCAGGGAGCTGCAAGGTGCTCCCTCTCCCACCCGAGGCAGAAGAGAGAGGGGAAGGACAGCAAGAGAGGCACATGGGCCCCCAGTCCTGGAGTGCAGCCGACCTGAACCCAGGACAAGTCAGGCCAGAGAAAATCCCATGCTGGGTGGCCACGAGGAGGGAGGGACAACATGAGAAATGTAGAGGACTCTTCCAGGCCTTGCTCTCCATGCTGGCCTCCTAAGCAGAAAAGAAAGAGGAAGAAGATGCCCGGGCCAGCTCTGAGGGAGCAGAGTCAGCTCTGTGCCACTGTAATTTCATGGACGGACAGAGAAAGGTGATAACCAAGGGCACTGGGCCTGTGAGTGGAAACTGGTGACGCCACACTAGCCCTGTAGCCCAACTGGGGCCCTGGAATTTGACCAGTTCCTACAGCACTCAGTCCCCTGGTGAGTGAGGGTGTCCGTTGTGGGATCAGCCCCAGGGTGGGGTGAAGGGAGGTGCAGGGGCCCAGGGAGGCAGGAGCAGACCTTCTGCAAACCTGTCAGGGGTTGCTGCAAGAATCAGAAAACAGGAGGTGTGTGGGGCGCCTGGGTATCTCAGTGGGTTAGGTGTCCAACTTTCGATTTTGGCTCAAGTCATGATCTCAGGGTCGTGGGATCAAGCCCCGAGTCTGCGCTCAGCGAGGAGTCTGCTTGAGATTCTGTCTCTCTCTCTCCCTCTGCCCCTGCCCTGTGCACACACACACTCTCTCTCTCTCTCTCAAAAGAAAAGAAAGAAAAAAAGAAAGAAAGAAACAGGAGGTGTGCAGTTCCCAGCAGCTACCTTGGGGATGGTTTTCAAGTGCCCTGATGTGGCACTGGCCGTGGACATGGGGCCCGTCCATTCGTGAGGAGTGATAGAACCACATCCTCAAGGAACAGGGTCACTCAACTTCTACCTCTGTTATCTGGCAGCTTTTCTTGTTCTGTGGGCTCTGAGGGGTGGCAGTCCTCTCATGGCCAGGCTCTGTGGGAACAGAAGAGGGATAGGAGAGGAAGGGGAAGAGGGAGAGGAAACAGCGAGAACAGGAAGCTTGGAAATACCCACGCCACTCAGCCTGCCTCTTTCCGTCATTTAGGGAATGAGATGGTGCCTGAGGGCACCGGCCATGCGAGGCACATAGTAAGTGCTCATTAAATATCGCTATTGCCCTAGAAATGGCTGCTGGAGCAGCAGAAGTGGTGGATGATTCATTCAACCATGAAACACCCCAGAATGTAGAGCAGCCATCATCCCCCCTTTTCCCAGATGGAGAAACTGAGGTCCTGGGCTATGAAGCCACCTGACCCAAGTTGCCCCACTGGCCTGCGGGCAGCAGAGCCAGAACAAGGGCTTGTCTCCTGCAGGAGATTCCAGAAGCCCAGCTCAAGGCATGGACTTGATCTTGCAAGCAGGCTCCAAAAGACCTGGGGACAGGAGAGAGAGAGAGAGATGGAAAAGGTGGGGCACGGACCGGGCAGGGCCGTGCAAGAGAGGAGGCAGATCTGAGGGGCAAGGGGGTCGGAAGCAGGCTTACCTGCCGGAGAGGGTATGATGGGCACACGGGAGGGCACGGAGAGGCCCTCGGACTCTGAGGTCTGCAGGAAGCAAGAGGGAGCAGCCACCGTCCGAGCTCTGGAGGGAAACCCACCTGACCCCTCCATAGCTGAGTGAGCTTGGGCAGGTCCCCTTAACCCTCCTCAGTAAAATGGGGGAGATGGCAGTCCTCCTCCACAAGCTGCCGGGGGGAGGAACGAGGCCATGTCCAGCACACAGCTCTCAGGCATCGCTCAGCCGGCGCATCACTTGTCGTCGAGCCGGAGAGATGGCTGAGCCCAGGGCAGAGATGGAGGCCGGACTTCCGTCCCCCTCAGACACACCCCGTGCAGCACGCCTGAACAGGGAGCCACGGAGACAACCTGTGAGACAGGCCAGCAGGGGCCCACGGTGCGTTTCCCTAGAGGAAAAGTGTCTGTCAGAAGAGATCTTCCTGGGCGGATAGCCAGGCTCCTTGGGTGATGTGCCCCAGCTCTGTTGCTTCCTACCTGTGTGACCACGACCAGTCACTGGTACCCTCTGAACCTTAGGCTCCTTATCTAGAACGCTGCTTTGAGGACGATAGCTAATCTTTAAAGGGAAACTGCGGGTATTCATTTTACCT